ATCTTTCCCCACTGTCTCTGACCTCGCTGCCCACCTGCGCTCGATAGAGGAGACCTGGCGCGCCGCCTGCACTGACGCACAGCTTAGAGCCCACCAGCCTCCTATTACCTCTACCCTCTACCTGCTTGCCACCCGCCTCCCTGACCGCCTTGCTGTCGAGTGGTAGCTCTGGCGGCGGGCGCTGTCAGTACCAGATTCAGACCGGTCCTCGCCGCGGCTTCATTTGCGGTAAGCTCGGTCACTCCACTCCCCGCTGTTTTCGTCGCCTGGACGACCTCTTTCGTCAGCGCTTCGGCCCGTCGCCAGACCTCCCGGACTGGCACAGTTTGCTTAGTCGTAAGATTCAGATCTTTGATATAGACATGGATGCCATTGTTTCTGCTCTGCATGTGATGTATGCTGATGACTCTAGTGTGCTTCCCGCTTATTACTCACTGTTGCCTAGTGTAGGTGTGCCTAGTGTACCCTCCCCTGCTGCGTCAGGCGTAGGATCCTCTGCTTTGTGTAGTCTTGGTGCTTCCGCCGTCGTTCCGTCGCCAGACGCCTCTGCTTCGCTTTCCTTCACCTTGGACTCTGGCGCTTCTCGGTGTTTCTTCCGCGACTCCACCACCCTGACGCCGCTTCCCGTCCCTGCTGCCGTTTCTCTCGCTGACCCCTCTGGCGGTCCGGTAGTCGCCCGCAGTTCCACCACCCTTCCCTGTCCGGCGGTTCCTTCGGGCACTCTCACAGGTCAGCATATCCCCTCGTTCTCCAGGAACCTAGTTGGTGTCGGCTGCCTCCAGGACCTTGGCGTCACCACTACGTTCCCTGGTCACGAGCGGTATGCTGTCTGTACCAAGGCCGCCACTGGTGCCCCCCTGTCCACGTTCCCCCGGGACCCGGTGTCCGGCCTGTTCACTCTGCACACCGTGACCCCCCCGGCTGGAGCGCTCACCCAGGTTGCTGCCGCCTGCTCCTGTCGGTCCCTCACTCACCCGACCCTCCTTTGGCACCACCGCCTAGGTCACCCTGCGCTCCCGCGTCTGCATCACATGTCCCAGCACGGTCTTGTAATTGGTCTCCCAGGTTCTCTCCCTGCGTTTCCCTCCTCCCCAGCCCCACCTTGCACGCCTTGTGTCGAGGGTCGGCTTCGTCGTGCCCCTCACTCCTCCTCGTTTCCCCCTACCGCCGCGCCGTTGCAGACCCCGCGCCGTTGCAGACCCTGCACCTGGACGTATGGGGCCCCGCCCCTGTCCCTGGGCCGCGTCGAGAGCGCTACTTCCTTGTGCTTGTCGACGACTTCACTCGCTACACCACATTCTTTCCCCTGGAGCGCAAGGCCGACGTGCCTGACGCTCTCATCCCCTGGCTTGTCTCTGCGCGTGTCCACCGCGGTCTCCCTGTCTTGCGTCTTCACTCAGACCGTGGTGGCGAGTTTGCCTCAGGTGTCCTTGGTCGCTTTTGTCGTGCGGAGGGCATCACCCAGACGTTCACCCTACCGGACTCCCCACAGCAGAATGGGGTCGCTGAGCGACGCATCGGTTTGGTCATGGAGGTGGCTCGCACCTCCATGATCCATGCCGGTGCACCCCATTTTCTGTGGCCGTTCGCTGTGGGCTACGCTTCTCACCAGCTTAACCTGTGGCCGCACCCTCAGCAGCCGCAGGTTTCGCCGACCCGTCTTTGGACTGGGTCTCCTGGTGACGCGTCTGCGTTCCACGTCTGGGGCTGTCTTGCTCACGTCCGTGCCTCCGGCACGGACAAGCTCACTGCCCGCACCCTTCCCTGCGTCTTCCTCGGTTTTCCCCTTGACGCGTCCGACTGGCACTTTTACCACCCGCCGTCTCACCGCTTCTTTCACTCTCGTGACGTCACCTTTGACGAGTCCGTCTCCTACTACCGTCGCTTCCCCCACCGTGGTCCCCCGGTTACCCCCCCCCCTGTTCCTGGTCCCTCCTTCCCCGGTAGTCCCTGCCCCTCCTCCTCCTCCTCCCCGTCCCGCCCCCTCTGGTGTGTCCCACGTCACCCCCCTTCCGTCGGTGGACCCGATGGAGGAGTCTTCTGACTCTGGTGGCCCTCCTGTTCAGTCCTCGCCGGCCGCCCCTCCCCTAGCGTCCCCTCCCCAGTCCCCCCCTCCACCGCCTCTGCCGCCGCTGCAGCCGTCGTTGTCGCTGCCGCCGCTGCCGCCGCCGCCGCCGCCGCCGCCGTCGCAGCACCCGTTCGCTGACTCTGGGGGTGCTCGTCCCGGTAGCCCTGGGGGTGGTCCCTCTGGGGGTGCTAGTGTGGAGAGTGTCGGGGGTAGCCGAGGAGCAGCTAGCGGTCCCGGTGTCGCCGTTGTGCCGCCGCAGCAGCAGTCCCCGCCGGTGTCAGCCCTTCGCCTGCTCGGCCTGCCGTCCCCCGACCCTGCGTCGGTTCCTCCCCGACCGTCTCCTCCTCTTCCTGTCTACGGCCCTGTTTTCCCTCCGCCGGACTCGTCCCCGGCTCGTCTCCCCCCTCGTTCCCCTCCTGTGTCCCCTCCTCTCCTGACCCGACTCCTCCGTCGCACGTCTGGTCTCACCGTCCCTCCCGTGCTCGTCCTGCCTCGCCTGTCCTGCGCTCCCACCCTATGTTGCTTCGTTCCCACGCGTCTCGTCCTCCCCTTCTGCCATCGCCTCCTCCTTCCTCCCTTGTTGTTGCACCCCCCCCGCTGTCTGACTACCTTCGTGCCGCTCATCCTCTTGTTCCTCGCGTCCTTGCCTCTCTCGTTACCGACCCCTCTGTTCTGGCCTCGTGCCTTGACACCCTTGTTGCTGCTGTCGCTGCCTTCGCCTCTTCCCGCCGCCTTGACTACGCTTCCGCTCTGGTCTCTGACCTTGCCTGTCCTCCGTCTGTCGGGGGTGCTCCTGCCCTTGGCAGTGACGTCCTGGAGGACCGCCAGTTCGAGCTTGCTTTCCTGTCCGAGGCTGCTCCCCATCTCTGTTCCATGCTGCTAGTCCCTGAGGGTGACCCAGACGCTTTTGACATCCCGACCCCTCGCACTTACGCTGAGGCGACCTCGGGACCCTGGGCCTCGCAGTGGATAGCTGCCATGGAGTAGGAGATGGCATCTTGGAGATCCACCGGCACCTTCGTCGACGCAGTTCCCCCGCCTGGGGTGAACGTAGTCGATGGCCGCTGGCTCTTCAAGGTGAAGCGCCCTCCTGGAGAGCCGCCTGTCTTCAAGGCGCGCTACGTGGCTAGAGGCTTCAGTCAGCGCGAGGGGGTGGACTTCTTCCAGACCTTCGCTCCGACCCCGAAGATGACTACTCTTCGGGTTCTGTTACACCTAGCTGCTCAGCGTGACTACGAGCTTCACTCCCTCGACTTCTCCACTGCCTTCCTTCAGGGCAGCCTACACGAGCAGGTCTACCTACGTCGCCCTCCGAGCTTTACTGGCACCTTCCCTCCTGGGACCCAGTGGCTCCTGCGGCGCCCCGTCTACGGCCTGCGCCAGGCTCCCCGTGAGTGGCACGACACTCTCCGTGCTACGCTTGCTGACCTGCAGTTCTTTCCGTCTTCCGCAGACCCTTCCCTCTTCGTTCGTGCTGGCCAGACTCCGTTCTACATCCTTGTTTACGTCGACGACCTGGTCTTTGCCACAGCAGACAGGGACGCACTGGCCTCCGTGAAGGCAGAGCTGCTGAAGAGACACACGTGCACTGACCTTGGAGAACTGCGCCGTTACCTTGGCTTGCAGATCTCCAGGGACAGAGCTGCGCGCACCATCACCCTGACTCAGTCACACTTGGTGCGCCAGGTCCTTCAGAGGTTCAGCCTTCAGTTCTCCTCTGCACAGCCCACCCCTCTGCCTGTAGACCACAGGCTCTCCGCTCCAGTGTCTGAGGAGTTGGTAGAGCCCAGCGGCCCCTACGCAGAGCTGGTGGGTTGCCTCATGTACCTGATGACTTGCACTCGCCCAGATCTCGCATACCCTCTCAGCATCCTGGCTCGCTTTGTGGCCACAGGCAGACACCGACCGCAGCACTGGTCTGCCGCTAAGAGGGTTCTGCGTTATCTTGCTAGTACATCGGGCATGGGGTTAGTGCTAGGAGGACGCAGGCCAGTGGTCCTTACTGGACACACAGACGCTTCGTGGGCAGACGACGCTGAGACACTCAGGTCTACCCAGGGCTACTGCTTCAGCCTTGGCTCAGGTGCCGTCTCGTGGAGAGCTACTCGCTCCTCGTCTGTGGCGCAGTCCAGCTGTGAGGCTGAGATCTACGCTGGTGCCATGGCGGCACAGGAGCTCCGCTGGCTGACCTTCTTGCTCACTGACTTAGGTGAGCGGCCTAGCTCTGCCCCGGTCCTGTTCGCTGACAACCGGGCCATGATCCTCCTGTGTCAGGAGCCTCGACTCGAGGGCAGAGCGAAGCACATTCAGCTGCGGTACTTCCTCCTGCGTGAGCTACAGCAGCGACGCCAGGCTCGCGTAGTACACTTGGCCTCAGGTGCCAACACGGCTGATATCTTTACGAAGGCGCTTGCGCCTAAAGATCATCAGCGGCACTGTGTACAGCTTGGTCTAGTTCCTGTAGCCTCTCACTTGCTAGGACCTTGACTTTGTACTATCCTTGATATGTATACTCAGACTGGACTTGTGTCCTCTACCAGTGGCTGGACTAGTAGTGCCGCCCTGCTCTTGTTCTTGCCTTGTCTGTACTCCTTCTGACTGGTCTCTCAGACCCTTGTCTCAGAGGTTGGACTAGTAGTGCCGCCCTGAGCTGCTTGTTTAGGACATTCCCCTATGCAGTCTAGGGGGTGTGTCAAACATGTGCATTTGTCATGTTTGTATAGACTGTATAGGGTAGCCTCTTAGAGGGTACAACACTTAGGTATATCTGTGTGTACCCTCTCTCTAACAATCATTCACTTATTCAATTCTGATAGGTGATGGCACAGCAGCAGTGGTTGGAAAAGAGGGTAGCGCTCGTCTATGCTACTCAAAAGCGATGTTGAAAGTTTCGGGGGGGTGTTCAAATATTTGCAGGCAAAAAAGACGGGTGCTATGTATAACCAGTTTAATTAAGCACCCATGTCCGCTCAAGCCACCCATGGGCGTTCAATTTTGCGGGGAGCTGTATACGGGGGAATACGGTAATTCAGTATAGTTGTTCAGTACGTATTCTTCTACCTGGCATATCTACACCTATCAATTTGGCATCACCCTATTAGAAACTACCCTAGCAGTCCTAGCACTAAAAAGTGCAAAGCCTCTAACTGCCAGCGTCTTCATCGGCTGCTTCTCCCTTTCACCACCTCCTTTACTCCCCCCGCAACCACCATTGCCACCACTCTTTGTACCTTTACCACCACCATCTCTCCCTCCCCCTCCCCCTCCCCCCGCACTCATGTTCCGCCTCTCTGCCTCCTGCCTCGCCTGCTGCATCTTCCTCCGCATCCTCAGCTTGGCCGCCTGCGCCGCTCGCGCGCTCTGCTTCGAGTTGGGGGAGCTATCCACAGGAGCAGCAGACGTGGCTGTTGATGGTGCCGCCATGGCTCCACTCTGCTGTTGCACGAGTGGGTGAGAGTTAGCAGGGGCAGCAGCGGTGCTGTTTGAGAGTGTGCTGGCAGCTCCTGATTGGCTGACCAGCATCTGCTGCTGCTGCTGCTGCTGCTGTTTCTCTGCAGCAGCGGAGGCAGCAAGGCTGATGCCGGAGGTGGAGGGCAGCGGCTGCTGTGTGAGGGAGGACGTGAGGTGCTCCTCCTTGCACGGCCGGGATGTGTCCTCAGCAGGCGGTGCATCTTCTCCAAGCGTTGCCTCCTGAGACATATTGCAGGAAGCGGAAGAGGTTTCAGGTTTAAACGCTGTCAAGACTGGATAAGAAAAGAGCGCTGGTGGAACGAGACGAAAAAGGACGAACGGAAGATCACAAGCACAGCGAGCGAAGGCAAGGATATCTAGTGGGCAGGCCACTCTTGTCATACCTTGATCTGAGCGACCATGGACTGCACGAGCTCAATGACCTCCAGGAGCATTGCTGCTGTGTCCCTCTGCGGGGCGAGAGGGAGGGAGGGGCGAGAGGGGGAGGGGGGGAGAGGGAGAGAGCGAGAGAGAAAGGGAGAGAGACAAAGGATGAGAACACGGAAGAAACAGCGAATCCAAGATGCATGAGGACTCGAGGCTCATAGCTGCGTGTCAGAAGCAATTAGCAGCTCAACTATGAGCGCGAGGACCGCGGCACGCGCGTACTTTGTTGGAGACGGGCACGAGGTCCAGCAGGCGCTTGACTCGGTGGTTCATGTCGTGCCGCCGCTTCCTCGCCGCCGACGCCGCTGCGTTCTGCACAAACCCGCGCTTGCGGCTGTAGCCGCCGCCGCCCAACATGTCGTCCTCCTCGTCCTCCTCCATATCGTCCATGAACCCCCCCCCTCCATCATTCTCCCCTCCTCCCCCTCCTCCCCCTCCCCCTCCCCCTCCCCCTCCCCCTCCCCCTCCTCCTCCTCCTCCTCCTCCTCCTCCTCCTGCTGCTGCAGCGGAGTGGAACGAGTCACTTACTGAAATGCTTCTCGGGATCATCTTGTACCCGAAGCCCAGCGGCCCGTTGCCGCCCGCGTACTGTAGCTGCATGATGCCGTCACTGCAGCTGTTGTCATTGTGAGCCTTCGTAGGGTTACCAGTGTTACCCCCTTTTGCAAATGAAGTCCGTTGCTTGGGAGCACCTTCCTTTCCTCCTCCTTCCCCTCTTACATCCCTCCCCACCACAATCCCCCCTCCTACCCCTCCTCCTCCCCCTCCCCCCATATCGCCTTCCTCTGCCGCTTCTAGACTTAGCTTCAACTCATCCTCCTGACAGGTCAGATCCATAGCCGCACCTCCCCCAGATGCACCTCCACCAGTTGGCTCTTCCTTCACAGTTACTCCCGCACTGCTTGTGCTGCCGACGTGTTTGCCGACGTCACAGGGCCTTACTGCTGACGCAGCACAAGGCAAGGGCGGCATCACGAGGCCACGGGGAGCAGCAGCAACAGAGGCAGCCGTGGCAATGGGTGCAGCAGCAGGGGCACGAGCAGGAGGAGTAGGAGCAGCGGCAGGGGTAGCGGTGGAAGCAGGAGAGGCGGCAGCAGCTGTAGCGGTGAGAGCAGCAGAAGAGGGTGCGGTGGGGGAGCGGTGAAGGGAGGGGTGTGATGACAGGTGGGGGAGAGAGGGGTGCTGTGCGGTTGAAACAGCTGATGCAGATGCTGATGCTGGTGCCGGTGGTGTGGTGAAGGGTGGAAGCGATAGAGGGAGAGACGTGGGGGGACTGGGCCGTCGCAACTGCTGATGCTGCTGGTGATTTTGCTGTTGGTGTAATTGCTGCTGCTGCTGCTGCTGCTGCTGCTGCTGTGACTGCACGTGCATCGGCTGTCCTTGCATTTGTACCTGCTGCTGCTGATGCTGCTGCAGTCTCAGGGGCTTGAGGTTGGTACAGTCTAAAGCAGGGGGGGGCAGAGAACGGGAGGGAACCAGCAGGGGAGTACCACGAGGTGTGCTGTGGCCGTTGCTGCCAGGGGTGCCGCTGTTTCCGCTGCTGCTGAAGAGAGTGGCAGGGAGGGAAAGGGGCGCGTGGGAGAGGGGAGTGGGAGGAGCACCCGGAGCAGCAGCCGCTGAAGCAACAGGCGTGCTGGCGTTTGCAAACCCAGGCGACCCTGCTGCTGCTGCTCCTGCCGCTGCTGCTGGCGGGGAGTGAGACGAAGGTCCGGTAGCAGGAGTAAAGCCAGGAGGAAGAGGAGTAGGAGTGGAGGAGCACTGCTGGATGAGGGGCGGAGAGGAGGGGAGGATATGAGCGGCAGGAGAGGAAACCGCTGCAGGGCTCTGTGTGGGAGCAGGCGGGCCGTTATACCCGTTGTAGCCATTATAGCCGTTGCTGCCTCCGTCGTTATTAGCCCTGCTGTTATTTGGCTGCCATCCGTGGGGCAGCATTGTGTGAGAGAGGGAGCGAGAGTGCGACAAGGGATGTTGGCGGGACTGGGATTGTGGGGGCTGCTGGCTCGGGGGAGCGTAGCAGGCAGAGCGGGAGCGAGTGAGAGGAGCAAGGGGGGAGGGAGACGGGCCAGCAGCAGCAGCAGCAGCAGCAGCAGCAGCAGCAGCAGGCGCAGCCGCAACGCCATTTCTACCAGCGCAGCAGGTGCAGGAGGCATGCATGTGGGCGGATGGATGGGCCATGCCTCCGCTGCTAATTGTGACGGCAGTCATATTATTATTGCTGTTATTATTCCCGTTGACCATGGCATTATTGGTGCATATGCTGCTATTATTATTATTATTATTCGTAAAGTTTGCTGCAGCAGCCGGGACAGCAGGATGGGGGGCGGCAGCAGGAGGAGCGGCGGAGGAGGAGGGAGGAGGGGAGGGCGAGACGAGAGGGATTCGCACCACGCGGCCGTCCGAGCTGTTGACAACCCCACTGCATCCTGCTGCTGCTGGTGTCGCTCTGTTATTGCTGCTGCCTGCTTGCTGCCCATGCTGCTGCTGCAGCATGTGGAACTGCGGCTGTGCCTGCTGCAGTGGCGCCTGTAGCGGCGCCTGTAGCGGCGCCTGTAGCGGTTGCTGTAACGGTAGCTGGACGTGGTTGCCACTGGTGCCGCTACTGCCGCCATGCTGCAAGCAGTTGCAGGCGCCGTGTGCGTGACTGTGGGCGTTTCCAAGGTGTTGATGGCCCATACACACGCCACTGCTCGTGCCATTGCTGCCATTGTTGGTGCTGCTGGTGCCTGCCACCAGCACTGGTGCTGGCGCTCCTGCTGTCGTTGCCCCTCCGTTGGGTGCCTTTCTCTGCATGAACGGCAGGAAGGATCCCAGAAGCATTGGCTTTGGTGTCCCTTGACGCACCTGCTGCTGCTGCTGCTGCTGCGCTTGCTGTTGCTGATATTGTTGCTGCTGCTGATATTGATGCTGCTGCTGTCGCTGGCCTTGCGGTAAATGTCTCTGCTGCTGCTGCTGCTGCTGCTGCTGCTGCTGCTGCTGCTGCTGCGGGTGTTGCATGTGTTGTTGGTGTTGCTGCATGGGTGGCTGTGATGGCGGTAGTTGGTGTGACATGAGCGATTGTTGCCGGACTGGCTCATGGTGATACGTTGTTGCTGTCTGCTGCTGCTGCTGCTGCTGCTGCTGGCGCTGCTGGTGCTGCTGGTGCTGCTGGTGCTGCTGTTGCTGCTGTTGCTGTTGCTGCCGTTGTTGCTGTCGCTGCCCTTGTGGCTGCTGCAACACCACCGTCTGGGGAAGAGGCTTGCACTCTGACTGCTGGAAAATGCGCTGCTGCTGCTGCTGCTGGTGCGTCTGCACATGCGTCTGCTGCTGGTACTGCTGCTGCAAGGGCGGCAGTGGCTGCTGCTGCAGAGGCTGCTGCATCTGGCTTGATGCCTGTGGCTGCCGCATCATCCGGCTGGACTCCTGCGGCTGCTGCTGTGGCGGCAGGAACGGCTGTGAACCACTCTGCCACGCATTCGACTGATGCTGCATATACTGCTGCGGCTGCTGCTGCATTTGCTGTTGTGGCAGCTGCGGCGGTACCATAGTAGTGCAACCACTCCCCCGTCTGCTCATCATCGCCTCGGCGCTCTCCCCCTCTGCCCCCGAGCCTGGACCCAAACCTGAGCCCGAGCCTGAGCCCGAGTCGGTCGAGAGTCCGCCAGGCTGCGTGGGCGGTGGGGTGCCATCGAGGTTGCCGAGCCCGGCGAAGATGTTGCTCTCTGCGGCGCCACCACCCGCCGGCGACACCGGTGACTGCTGCTGCTGCTGCTGCTGTGGTTGCTTAGGAGGAGGAGGAGGGAGGTCCGCATGACCCAGCGGCGGGGATGCACGCGGGGAAATGCTGGCACCTGCTACGGTGGCGACGGCAGTGGCAGCAGCGGCGGCGATAGCGGAGGAGTCGGAGAAGGTGAGATCGCGAACCAGAGCGGTGCTGCTGCTGCTGTGGTTCAGCTCACTGCCGTATTGAACCTGCCGCTGCTGCTGCTGCGGCTGCTGCTGCTGCTGCTGTTGTTGCATCTGCTGCTGCTGCGGCTGCTGCTGCTGCTGCTGCGGCTGCTGCTGCTGCTGCTGCTGTTGTTGCATCTGCTGCTGTTGTTGCATCTGCTGCTGTTGCATCTGCTGCTGCTGCGGCTGTTGCGAGAGCGCCTGTTGTGGCGCATCAGGCGGCCGCGTCTCGCTTTCCCGCGCGTTGAGGCGATCCATCAGGTTTCCCCGCACCGGCCGGCGAGCCTCGTTATTAGCCACTCCGCGATAAGAGCTGGGCGAACAGCCGATTGGTGCGCCCCCCGCATTTCCGGGGAACAGGTCGCTCTGAGGCGTGGGAGACACGCGCACGTCTGACGTGGACGACGGGCCAATGGAAGACGGACACGTGGAGGCAGGCGCGGTGTCGCAGAGGATATCGGAAACGGGCGTGTCGTAGTAGGAGGTTAGGGACCACGGCTCGGGGGACTGCGTCGCGTCAGACGGGCCGTTAGTGTACGACGGCGCGTTAGTGTACGACGATGGCGCGTTATTGTAAGACGGCCCGTTGGTATACGAGAGAGCGTTGTTGAAAGACGCGCCGTCCGACCCACCGCCAGTCGGACGGCAACCCTGCGGCGCTGGGGTGGCAAAGCCCACAGAGTCAACGGCCATGATTAAGTCCTGCACAGCCATCCCAGGCATCGGCGACGGGCGCGAGAGAAGCAAACTCGCCGAGTCCGTCCCGGACAGATTAACTCCAAACGCACTATTTCCTCCACTCATACCTCCCATTCCGCGATTCCCGCCGCCAGATCCGGCGTGCATCACCCCGTTACCCATCCCCGTTCCACTCTCTCCTTGAAACCCGCCGCTTCCGCCGCTCCCGCCGCTGTTCCCCGCGAGAGGCGGCGCTTCGTCCAGCATTCTACTGTCGCCGCTAATCGGGTCGTTAAACATGTCGTCCTCGCTCGGCAGCCACGCCGGCGACCAGCACATTCCCGAACCACCTTCCCCTCCCGCGCCCCCGCCCCCGCCCCCCGCCGCCCCCTTGCGCGGGGTTTCCGCTTCCGCGATCCGCGTGTGCGGGGACGGGCGGGAGAGGCGCGCCTCCATGTCGTCAGCGGCCGTCAGGAAAGATGACGGGCCGGGAGGAGACGATGGGTCAAAGTCGTCGGCGAACTCGGTGTCGGAGAGGCGCTCCGACGACGTGAAGCACGCGCTCGCGCCGCCCGGGTCCAGCCCGTGCATGGCGTCGAGCGCCGCCCAGAGCGGCGGCGCGGGGCTGATCTGCGGCGCGAAGAGCGAGATCGGCGCGGAGGGATCGTCGAGCGGCATTTTGGCGGACGCGGCGTTGCCGGGGGAGGAGGGGGGGAGGTGGATGAGGACTGAGTCGTCCGACATGGCGCGGGCGTGTTTCGATGCTCGAGGCGAGGTTTTGGCGCACTCGCGAGTGGCTAGAAACTAACGGATCTGTCACTTTGCTGGCTATGTCTAGTCATTTCCTTGCTCCGATCCTACGGGCCGCGCGATTCTGGATCATGACTTTTTGGTTACGCCATAGCGGATTTCTTCTCTCTTCGTAACTTCTCGTGGTTGTATGATGAAAGAACACACGGCGGGGAAGAGATAGGCTGGGTCATGAAAGAAAGACACACCACCCAAGAGCGCTCTCAAGTGTGGACTGTGCTAGGAGAGCCAGGGGGGTCTACGGGATGGCAGAAGAACGGGAGATAGGGGCGCTGATTGCTTGGGCTGGCATGAAGGTGGCAGAATGGCATGGAATGGAGGAATTGCGTGGTGCAAGGGCAGGAGCAGCAGCAGGAGCAAGGGGCTGGCCCTGTTTTTGGGAGCAGGGGTTGGTTGGGGGGGCAGCAGCTCACCTTGCAAATGCAACTCCTCCTGGGTTGTGAAATCGGAGCGCATGTTCATGGGTTCCTCCTAGGTGAAGTTGCCACGAGCGCGGCGCGCGGGAACTTGTGGCGAAAGGTTTGAAACACGAAAGTCGACGGCTCCGTCTGCTTTTGTTCAAAGGCGAAGCGCCGAGAGCCGTCAGATCGACGGTGATCACCATCGACAGTCCGATCGTCACAGTTCGTGCAACCAAGTGGGGTTTCGGAAAGGCGGCACTGAGAATTATCACTTTGCCGGGCAGGCTGAGCGAAAAGTTCGTCGAGCGTCCATCTACGGAAAAGGCAGAAATTGCACGAGGTTCGATGCTAATTTGAAAATGTGGTTGGCAGCTCGCACACCACAGTGACTCCAGGGCATGCGACAATTCACGACTATGAGATATCGAGGATCATAGGTCTGACTGCTGACAGAAGTCGCACGTCCACATATGTCATGGTCTGTTTCGAAAAAAAATATCGCCAATCGGTGTCTGACGTCAGTTTCGTACGAAAACTGGTCGCAGAGTCGTGAATGTCCTTGTTATAGCCTTGATCTCTTATTAAGATATCTTAACGACATAACGCTCAATACATATACTTCACATGTGTTATGAGTCAATATTCCAAAATAAACCATGAATCTCAAACTTTCAAACGGATTGAGGAATGTGATCCAATACAAATTTGAAGTCAGCACGAATACTTTACCAAACGCAGATTTAGATTGTTTAATCAGATACATTAAAGATTTTCACTACATAAACTGTGAAAGTAGCGCATGAAGAAAGTTAGCGAGGAAGAGGGGAGGGGAGGGGAGATACAAATAGTGAGTGGTATCCCCTCTAAGAGCTGACCTAGCTAGATTATTGAACAAACATAACTAATCCAATTGAATATGAGTAGCAGGCCTTTAGAAGTCATGCCAAAAAGGTCTGAAAAGGTGTATATCATGGTGCTTATTAGGGCATACCCTAATTAAACAGCTTTTGATTTTCATCAAACCTGAAATTCATGAGTTCCAGTTTCTTTAAGGCCTGAAAATAGTATGTTCTTGTTTTAGCAATCCTTACGAGTCAGCATTTATCGAAATTCGACCTGAAACATAATCATATCTGATTGGTCGAGGCGATTTGGAGTACGACTGAGGGGCGTGACAGGTCCTAAGCCAAATGACGCAGGTCCGAGGTGAGCTGGAGCACCTGTAAGGGGCGTGACTTGTCATAAGCCAAAAAGACACAGGTGACGCGAGCTGGAGCAGATGTGAGGAGCAAGGTTGTCGAAGTAAACTCAAGCAAGGGCATACAGGGTGTTATATGTGTTGGGGGGTTGTACTCTCTAAGAGCATGAACCTGTCTAGCCTATAACTAGACATACATCACAAATGTATAAGTTGACACAACCCCTAAGCTAGATAAGGTCAGTGCCTAGCAAGAACTACACACCTCATGGCGTCACTACTACTCCAACCTCTGAGGCAAGGGTCTGAAGACCAGTCAGAAAGAGTACAAACTAAACAAAAGTAACACATGGTGGCACTACTAAACTTGCCACTAAGACAAGAGCCACAAGGCCAGTCAAGATATTATAAAGAATAGTATACAAGTCAAGGACCTAGCAAGTGAGGAGCTACTGGAACTAGACCAAGTTGTAAGAACTGTCGCTGATGATCTTTAGGCGCAAGCGCCTTCGTAAAGATATCAGCTGTGTTGGCACTGGAGGCTAAGTATACTACGCGCGCTTGGCCGCGCTGCTATAGCTTATGCACGATGAAGTACCGCAGCTGGATGTGCTTCACTCTACCCTCTAGTCAAGGCTCCTGACACTGGAGGATCATGGCCCTGTTGTCAGCGTACAGGACCGGGGCAAGGCTAGGCCGCTCACCTAACTCAGTGAACAGCATCGTCAGCCAGCGGAGCTCCTGTGTCGCCATGGCACCAGCATAGATCTCAGCCTCACTGCTGGACTTTGCAACAGACGACGAGCGGGCGAACGTCCACGAGATGGCACCTGCACCAAGGCTAAAACAGTAGCCCTGGGAGGTCGTGAGCATCTCAGCGTCGTTCGCCCACAAAGTGTTTGTGTGCCATGTGAGAACCACTGGCCTGCGTCCTCCCAGCACTAGCCCCATGCCTGATGTACTTGCTAGATAACACAATACCCTCTTAATGGCCGACGAGTGCTGGGGTCGGTGCCTGACTGTCGCAACAACACGAGCGAGGATACTAAGAGGGTATGCGAGATCTGGACGAGTGCAGGTCTCAGGTACTGTACGTGAGGCAGCCCACAAGCTATGCGTACTGACAACTGGGCTCGACGGGCTCGTCAGGGACCGGAGCTGAGAGCCTATGGTCGACTAGCAGGGGGGTGGGTTGTGCGGAGGAGAACTGAAGGCCGAACCTCTTGAGGACCTGGTGCACCAAGTGTGAATGTGTGAGAGTGATGGTGTGCGCTGCTCTGTCCCTGGAGATTTGCAGCCCAAGATAGTTGCACAGCTCTCCTAGGGCAATGCAGGTGTGTCTCCTCAGCAGCTCGACCTTCATTGAGGCCAGCGCGTTTCTGTCTGCCGTAGCAAAGACCACGTAATCTACGAAGACTATGATGTAGAACGGAGTCTGGACTAAGAGAACGAAGAGCGACGGGTCAGCATAGGACGCAGAGTGTCGTGCCACTCTCAAGGCGCCTGTCGCAGACCGTGAACTGGGCGCCGGAGGAACCACTAGGTCTTAGGAGGGAGAGAGCCAGAGAAGCCTGGCGAACGACTCCGGTAGATCTGCTCGTGCAGACTGCCCTGAAGGAACCCACTGGAGAATTCCAGCAAGTGAAGCTCATATTCGCGCTGTGCTGCTACGTAAAGCAATGCCCGAACATCAGATTAGTTATGCGTAGCATTCTGTGTATGCTGATGCTTCTAGTGTGTCTGGATCTTATTACCCTATGTTCTCTAGTTTAGGCGTAGTACCTTTATGTAGTACAGACTCCCCTGCTGCACCAGGCGTAGGACCGTTTGCCTTGTCTAGCCTAGGCTCCGCACTCGCTCCTCCTTCGGCTGCCGCTGCTGCTTCGCTGTCCTTCACACTTGACTCCAGTGCATCTGTCTGCTTCTTCCGCGACCACACCATACTCATGCCGCTTGCTGCACCTACCGCAATAGCACTTGCTGACCCCTCCTCTGGTCCTGTCGTTGCCCGTAGCTACACTACCCTTCCCTGTCCAGTGGTTCCCTCGGGTTCTCTTACAGGCCTGCACATCCCTTCGTTCTCCAGGAACTTAGTTGGTGTCGGCTGTCTGCAGGACCTTGGCGTCAACTCAAAGACAGGCACACCGTAGCGCAGCAGACTGGGCCAGTCAGGGAGGTCCCGGGCCGGGCCGAAGCGGCGACGAAAGAGGTTGTTGAGGCGGCGAAAGCAGCTGGCGGTCGGGTGTGAGCGGCGGCACACAGTGCCACGGAGGGGGCCGGTCTTGAGCTGGAACTAGCAGCTCATAGCACTGAAGCTCCGTGTAGATGCCGAGTTGCGAGGACCGCCACTACGGCCACCACCTCCAAAGGCTCTGGGCCACCCCGGCGGGAGGCGAGCCCACGGCTGCTGCTGCTGCTGCTGCGTCGGCTGCGGCTGTTGCGGTTCCTGGACACCAGCCCCAACCCCCTCGTCAGAACCACTGTCCTCGCCACCACCACCACCACCACCTCCACCAGCACCACCACCACGCCCTCCCTTGGCGCCACGACGGCCCCAACGCGTTCGCAGCTGCGGTCTCAGTGGCAGGGGCAGCCGTAGCAACTGCGGCTTTAACGTCATCGTACGTTCACTTGGAGGGAGCACAGCCCTGAAAGATAGGGACTGCCACAACACCGCTCGCTGGCGAGTCTCTATCTCAGACAGGGCGGTGACAATGGCGGTCAGGGTGAGGTCTGTTAGGATTAAGGACAGAGTCTAGGTGAACTTAGGAGCTAGAATTACTCAAAATATAAATCCGAAATTCTGGACAGAAAAGTCGTCTTCACAAGAAACGACGTCGACAAAACACTAGCCGTTGGAATGTCGCGAAACTTGGATATGTTGTAGCTCTTGATCTCAGCTACCGTTCCCAATTTGAATCACGTTGATTGATGAAGTATTCGCGACGCTATGGCTTTCGACGCACTAGGGGGTAAGCTGTAGGAGGAGAACTTAACTCAATCTCAAGAGTTCAATCAAAGTTCAAGAATCTCACAAGGAATTAGAAGGAGCAAGAGAAAGGTTGGGATAGGAAGAGAGGGATGAGAGGGAAGGTCCCAAGAGAGTCCCCAACCAAGGAAACCCCATAAGCACAAAGATTCCCTCCCTATAGGAACCCCAACTTTGACATTTGTCCCTTCCCAACCAATCCATCCAAGTTGGCCACCCTTGCCAACCTAGCTTGGTTGTTCCCAACCAATTTGCAGCTGTTACAGTGAGTGACAAATTTCCCAAACCCCCAAAGGTCCCAACTCCATATAGAGTCACCCCACAACTTCACTTTGTAACCGCCGCAATTGTAACGCAAGCTCATGAACTTTGAATCTTCATAGCTTTCGCGTTCTTGCTCCGATTGAAGGGATTCTCGTTGCGTCGGAAAGATCTTCTCAAGATCTATCATCACAAAAAACCTGCTCAAACAAAATAACACAAAACACATTCCCAAACTCCAGAACACATCACACACAAATTCTTGCACACGTTCAAACCACACATGCAAGTTGAAAAAATATGGGATGGGAGGCAGACAGAATGTGATAGCATATGATGACATCACACAACAATCTCCCCCTCTGGCTGCCAACCATCATCCACCATACCAACATCTCAAGCATGCATACTCAATGCACACTCATCCCAGCAAGCTTCATGCCCTTCCAATGATCCGCCTCCGCCAGACGCTTGGTGAAAATATCTGCTGCCTGCTGATGGGTCTTCACTATCTCCAGCCGCACCTCCTTATCAAGGAGTCTCCTCACCCAATGCCACTTAGGCCTTATGTGTTTTGTCAGCCCATGCAGACAAGCATTCTTGGCGAGCTTCACAGCGGACTCATTGTCACAAAACACAACTGTCGGCTTCTCCTGACCAACTCCCAACTCCTCCAACAAACGCCTTAGCCACACTACTTCCTTGGCCCCATGGTGTAAGGCCATGTACTCAGTCTCACATGAGGACAATCCCACCTCATTCTGCTTCTTGCTGCGCCAGCTCACAGCACCACCTCCTAGCAAGCACACATAACCCCCAATGCTGGTGCCATCCGCTTTCACTGAGTTGAAGCTAGCGTCAGTATAGCAACTCAAGAGCATCTCTCCACTCTTCACATCTGCAGCACCTCTCTGCAACCGCTGCCTCACTCCACTGTACTCCAATCCCACTGATGCCGTAGCGCTCACATAGCGGACCAACCTCTTGGCCGCTTCCAGCTGCTCATGACTAGGGCGTGAGACCACACTAGCCAATCGTGATGTAGCAAATGCAATGTCAGGCCGTGTATGATTTGCAGCATAATTCAGCGACCCAACCATCGAATGAAACAGCTTCCTGTCACTATCACCCACTACCTCCTCATCAGCACATGGCTCCACAGTAAACCCTGAAGGTAGTGGTGTTGCTGGCTTTCCCCCATCTTGCAGCCCATACTTCTCAGCCAGCCCCTCACAGTACTTCCTCTGGTGCAACCTCAGCACACCCTTTTCCACATCTCTCTCCACGTGCATCCCCAAGTAGTACTTCACCTCACCCATCTTGGAGCACTTGAACTGCATCTCCAGCATCTGCTCTGCGCTGTCCAGCAAAGCAGTGGATGCAGAAAAGAGAAGGATATCATCCACATACACCAAGAGCATGAGGATTTCATCCTTCTCCTGCAGCAGGAACAGGCTGGGGTCACACTCACTCTTCTTGAAACCCCCAGCCAACAGCGCCTCCTCCAACTTGTGATACCATGCACGAGGCGCCTGCTTAAGGCCATAGATGGCCTTCTTCAGCCTGCAGACCCTGCCGCTCCCGTCATCCAGCCCCTCTGGCTGCTTCATGTACACCTCCTCCATAATGATCCCATTCAGAAAGGCAGTCACAATATCCATCTGCCGAATCTTCCATCCCAGGAGTGCAGCTATCGCCAACAGCACCCTCAGTGTTGTTCCTTTCCCCACAGGAGCAAACACCTCATCATAGTCCTTCCCCTTTGTCTGCTGAAACCCCCGTGCCACAAGCCTAGACTTGTAGCGGGTCAGCTCCCCTTCAGGTCCATACTTGTGCCTGTAGATCATCTTGGAAGTGATTGCCTTCTTTCCAGGAGGCAAGTCACACAGGTCCCATGTCTCGTTCTCAATTAGGGACCCGAACTCCTCATCCTCACTCGCCTTCCACTTCTCCCCATTTGGTCCATTCAAGGCCTCTTCTCGAGTCTTGGGCTCAGGGATTGGTGCCCAGTAGCAGTGAGCGATCTCATCTTCCTCAATCTGCTCAACCACACTCCCAGCCTGCACCACATTCGGCTTGCCTCTTCCCCCATAGGTCAGCCTCACTGGAGGGCGCACATCCCTCCTAGGACGCTCAGGCGGGTGTGGAACTCGAGGTGGAGACTCATGCTGCTGCTGCTGCTGCTGCTCTACTTCAGCTGCTCCCCCTTCCTCAGTCACCCCAGACATCTCCTCCTCTGACACTGCAACCTCCACCTGTCTTGAAGGCTGCTGCACCTCATCTGCCTCCACAATGAGCGGTGTAGATGGAAGCTTCTGTTGCTGCTGCTTCCATTCCTTGTAGTACAGGGACTCAAGAAACTTCACATCCCTTGACACTGTCAACTTCTGGGTGGTCAAGTCCCATAGCAGCCACCCCTTGTGATCCTTTGCAATCCCCAAGTGCACACCCCATCTTCCAGAAGCCTCCAACTTCCCCCTTTTCTCCTTAGGCACATGAAACACCACCATGCACCCAAATGCCCTCAGCATGTTCACAGCTGGAGCACTCCCATACCACTTGACGTATGGGATCCACTCCTTATCTCCAACTGTAGCCAGCACCCTGTTCTTCACAAGGGCGACCTGCCTCAGTGCAGACACCCAAAACGGATCAGGCAGCCCTGCACGCCCAAGGAGAGTGCGTGCCCCCTCCTGCAGGGTCCTGTTGAACCTCTCAGCCACGCCATTCTGCTGTGGGTTGTAGGGCACTGTCAGTTGATGCTGGATCCCCTTCCTCTTCAACTCCCCCTCAAAATCAGCTCCAATGAACTCCCCACCATTGTCACTACGGATCACCTTCACCTTGTGTCCGCATTCCCTCTGAGCTCTCGGCATCCACTCCTTAAGGACAGCCGCTGCCACCTCCCCCTTGCTCTTCAAAGGGTAAACCCACACTGCCCAAGTGTGGTCATCCACAATTGTCAAGAAATAGCGGCTGCCTGAGAGGGAAGGGGCTCTTGTGGGCCCCACCACATCCATGTGCACAAGTGCAAGTGGGGTCTTGGATGGTCCAGTTGCACTGTTGAAGGGGAACTTGGAGAACTTGGTCTCCAAGCATGTAGGGCAGCTCCCAATCTCCTTCACTTCCCCTTTCACCTCCAAGCCCTTCAGGCTCCCATTCTTCACCAACTTCTGCAGCATAGGGAAGTTCACATGACACAACCTCTCATGCCATGTCTCCCAATCGGCCTCTCCACTCCTTGATGAAGCCTTAGCCCATGCCGCACTCGCATCCACACCAGCAAGCACCTCACCATGTGTCTGCTGCTTCTGCACTTTCTTGACTGCTTCCAGCACCCCATCAGTTGGTGCAGTTGCATCTCCTCCTGCTGTTGCCTTTGCCACTGCTGCCGTTGCTGCTGTTGGAGTCTTCCCATTCCAAGGGATGATGGGCAGCTGCCACAGGTCCTTGATGCAGCTGGTCTCCTCTTCCAGACTCCACAGCACCTTCTTCCCAAGCTTAGCACGGCAGCTGGTTGGTCCAAAGGTCACTTCGGCCTTACTCTTCTGCAGCCGCCGCACAGAGAGAAGGTTAGCAGACAAGCCTTTAACCAGCAGAACATTCCCAAGCCCCACAAGCTCCCCATTAGCTCCCTTAACCTTGGCATTCCCAACACCAATCACGGGGAGCAAAGCACCTGACGCTGCTGCCACATACTTAATCTTCCCAGGGGGTTTTACCTCATCAAGCAAATCTGCCCGTGGGGTCATGTGACTGGTGCAACCCGAATCAATCACCCAGTGCGTGAGAGGGTGCATCACAACCTTTCCCACAAATCCCACATCACCCTCATGCCCATGCACATCCTCAACCATAAGAAACAAACCAGGATAGGCATTACCTTGTGCACCTTCACCTTGTGCACCTGAGCCTTGCACAGCGCCACCTTGTGCGCGTTCACCACTGGGTGGCTTCATGCCTGGAGGTGCCCATCCCTCCGGCCTGCTGAAGCACTTGAACCAAGGATGCCCTATCTTCTTGCAGTACCAGCAGGTGCCCTCCATTCTGGTACTCCCCCTGCCACTAGAGCTCCCATGCCCCTCATTATAGTCACCTCGGCCTCTACCTCTGCCAAAGCTCCTCCCATGGCCTCGGCCTCTCCAACCCCCTCTTCCTCTGCCGCGCCCTGCAGCTCCATACCCCTCAGCAGTCTTAGTGGCAGCACCGCCTCCCACATGGCGTCTGCGGAAGTCCTCCTGCAGAATCTGCTGCCTTAGCCACTCAGGTGTCCATTGATCTTGTTGAGAGTTGAGGGTGGGGATGAGGTTGTCCCAAGAGTTGTCCAACACCGAGATGATCTTGGTGCACTGCTGCAGCTGAGATACACTGCTGCCCGCTGCTGCCATCCTTGCATAGGTGTCCTTGATCTTGTCAAGGACCGGCTTCACATCGTCCCCTGGTCGCATGGAGATGGCAGCAAGTTCCTTCTCGAGCACGATCACCATCAGGAGAGTGTTGGGCTGAACCACATCACGTAGTAGTTTCCACGCCCTTGGACCCGAATCATCCGCTTCCACAAGATCCTTGATGTGCTCGAACATCTCCTTGTTGACCGATTGAAGAATGAGGTCGAAAAGCACCGCGCTTTTCTCAATCCACCGTTCACGTGCTTCGCCTTCTTCCGGCATCTTCTCTTCCCCAACAGCAATCTTCAGGAGCTTGTAGCGTTTGAAGGCACTCCTCATCCGTCCGCTCCATTCCTCATAGTTGGAGCCATCCAAAGCTTCAACTTTTGATGGCGGCGGCTCACTTGTCTTCTCAGCTACAGCTCCTCTTCCATTAGCATCTCCTCCTCTCTCATTCATCTTCTCCTTGAGAAATGACGAATTTCAGCTCCCCTTTGCTGTCCACACTCAGCTCCCTCGATATTTTCACAAGTGTCGGCGTCCACGAAATTTCGGCAGAGTTTCCCCTTAGCGGAAGACACATCCAACCTTTAGAACACCACTTAGGCACACCCACAGGCCATGGTGGGTCTAGAAGGGTCTTCACACTTCTGTAGACTCCTCTCAATGTCCTTAATATCGCTCTGATACCACTTGTTAGGATTAAGGACAGAGTCTAGGTGAACTTAGGAGCTAGAATTACTCAAAATATAAATCCGAAATTCTGGACAGAAAAGTCGTCTTCACAAGAAACGACGTCGACAAAACACTAGCCGTTGGAATGTCGCGAAACTTGGATATGTTGTAGCTCTTGATCTCAGCTACCGTTCCCAATTTGAATCACGTTGATTGATGAAGTATTCGCGACGCTATGGCTTTCGACGCACTAGGGGGTAAGCTGTAGGAGGAGAACTTAACTCAATCTCAAGAGTTCAATCAAAGTTCAAGAATCTCACAAGGAATTAGAAGGAGCAAGAGAAAGGTTGGGATAGGAAGAGAGGGATGAGAGGGAAGGTCCCAAGAGAGTCCCCAACCAAGGAAACCCCATAAGCACAAAGATTCCCTCCCTATAGGAACCCCAACTTTGACATTTGTCCCTTCCCAACCAATCCATCCAAGTTGGCCACCCTTGCCAACCTAGCTTGGTTGTTCCCAACCAATTTGCAGCTGTTACAGTGAGTGACAAATTTCCCAAACCCCCAAAGGTCCCAACTCCATATAGAGTCACCCCACAACTTCACTTTGTAACCGCCGCAATTGTAACGCAAGCTCATGAACTTTGAATCTTCATAGCTTTCGCGTTCTTGCTCCGATTGAAGGGATTCTCGTTGCGTCGGAAAGATCTTCTCAAGATCTATCATCACAAAAAACCTGCTCAAACAAAATAACACAAAACACATTCCCAAACTCCAGAACACATCACACACAAATTCTTGCACACGTTCAAACCACACATGCAAGTTGAAAAAATATGGGATGGGAGGCAGACAGAATGTGATAGCATATGATGACATCACACAACAAGGTCACCAAGGTGCTGGCTAAGGAAGTGGTCGCGAGCAATGGCTAAGCGGTCCGGAAGGCGCATGGAAATAAGGTACAGGGTAGCACAGAACGGTGGGAGGAAGGCAGTGAGTTGGGTGTCTAACGGCGCAGTAACTAGTCTCTAGTGCACGGAGGTTTGTGGCTAGGTCAGCGACAGTGGGGAAAACAGTAAGATCTGGGAATAGCATGGGGAGGATCAGGCGGCCAGCAGAGGCGGAGGCGGGCGTGGAGTAGTGCTCAAGTAATGCATCTAGGAAATCCTTGGCGACAGGAAAGCTAGCTCATACTGACTGTCCTCTACGACGTCACTGCCAAAGGGAGGTGCAGCCCCAACGGACGGAGGGTGGGCAGGGTCAGAGAGCAGAGCAGTGGCGTAGTCAAGGCGGAGAGTAGGGACAAAGTCAGAGACAGCAGTGACAAGATCGTCGAGACTCGAGACAGGAACGGACAGGTCGGTAACAAGGGAGGCGAGGACACGAGCAACAAGAGGGCGAGCAGCACGGAGGAAGTCAGAGAAAGGAGGCGTGGAGACAACGAGAGACGACGGAGGATGCAACGGGAGAAGAGGAGGGGGAGGAGCACGAGACACGTGAGAACGGAGAGACATAGGGTGAACACTCGGAGCAGGAGAGATGGGGTGAGCACGAGAGGGGCGGGGAGACCACTTGCGAGAGGGGGGCGTAGGGTCAGAAGACAACGGAGGAGACACAGGAGGAGAATGAGGGGGGAAACGAGCTGAGGAGGAGTCCGGCGGAGGGAATACGGAGCCGTAGACAGGAGGAGGGGGCGGCACCGGGGGAGGCGCGGGCGGTTGGTCAGGAGAGGGAAGACCGAGAAGGCGAAGGGCGGAAACTGGCGGCGGCTGCTGCTGCTGTGGCTGGTGCGGCTGGTGCTGCTGCTCCGCGCCCACACCAGGACCTCCAGCCGCACAAGGGCTACCCCCAATACTCGTCACAACAGCACCCCTAGGACCAGCATCCCCAGGACTAGCACCCCCATAACTAGAACCCTCTCCAGCACCCACGCCACCCCCAGGGCCACTGGGAATCGCCACGACAGCACCCCTAGGACTAGCGCCCCCAGAACGAGCTCCCCCCTTAGAACCAACACCCAAAGCGCCAACACCCCCAGAGCAAACTGACCCCTGCTGCCGCAACGGGTGCTGCTGCTGCGGCGGCGGAGGTGACTGCTGCTGCGGTTGCGACGCTGCTGTTGCGGCGGAGGAGGAGACAGCGGGGCCGAGGGTGCAAGCACCGTAGAAACAAGCGGCGGATACCGAGCCTCAGGGCCCCCAGAGTGAGCAGACTCTTCCGCTGGGCCAACCGAAGGAAGGGGAGTGACGTGCGAAAAACCTGACTGGGCAGGACGAGGAGCAGGAGCTACAGGGGGAGTGGGAGCAAGGAACAAAGGGTGCGGTAACCGGGAGACCTCGGTGAGGAATGCGGGTGTAGTAGGAGACAGACTCGTCATAGGCGATGTCACGCGAGTAAAAGAACCGGTGAGACAATGGGTGGTAAAGGTGACAGTCAGGTGCGTTAAGGGGGAAACCAAGGAAGACATAAGAGACGGTGCAGGTGTAGTAGGAGACAGACTCGTCACCAAGGAACCTGATCCAGAGGAGGGTCGGCAAAACCTGCGGCTGCTGGGAGCACGGCCACAGGTTAAGCTGGTGAGCAGCGGAGCGAACTGCGAACGACCACAGAAAATGGGGTGCATCGGCATGGATCATGGAGGTACGAGCCACCTCCATGACCAAACCGATGCATCGGTCAGCGACCCCATTCTGCTATGGGGAGTCCAGAAGGGTTTATGTTTGGGTGATGCCTTCCGCACGACAGAATTGGCCAAGGCGACCGGAGGTGAACTCACCGCCACGATCGGAGTAAGGACGCGGCACTGGCTGGGCGCGGTGGACTCGCGCAGCTACAAGCCATAGGATAAGAGCGTCAGGCACGCCGGCCTTCCGCTCCAAGGGGAACACCATGGTGTAGCACGAATAGTCGTCTACGAGAACCAGAAAGTAGCGCTCACAAATGCGGCCCAGGGACATGGGCTGGGCCCCAAACGTCCAAGTGCAGGGTCAAGAGAGGCGCAGTGGTCGGGGGAAAGGAGGAAGAGTGAGGAGAATGGCGCAGCCGGCCCTCAACGCAAAGCATGCACTGAGGCACAGGCGAGGGAAGGAGGGCAGGGAGCGACGCAGGGAGACCTAAGACAAGACCGTGGTGGGACATGTGACGTAGACACACGAGTGCGGGTGACCTAGGCGGTGGTGTCATAGAAGCGACGGGTGAGTGAGCGACCAACACGAACAAGCCACAACGACCTGGGTAGATGCAGCCACAGGGGGGGGCGCCCCCACTTGGGGGGGGACGCGGTGTCCAATATGAACAGGACAGACACCGGGTCCCGGAGGAACGTGGTGAGCGGAGCACCAGTGGCGGCCTCGGTACAGACTACGTACTGCTCGTGTCCAGGGAACGTAGTGGTGACGACGAGGTCCTGAAGACAGCCGACACCAATTACAGTGACGGAAACAATTGTCCGGATGTTTTGCATTAATCAAGGTTTTGGGGCTTTCCGACCACTGTACATAAAGTCTTAATGTTTAATTGTGGTACAATTTGGGAGGGGCACATAGTGGATGTGTTCACAGCACAAAAATCCATGATAGTAGACTGGATCTAACTTAGTGCCAAAATATATAAGAAGAGTACATCAGGACAATGATTTCCCAGGACAAAGAGCAAACTTCAGCGCAGAGTTTCTAGTACCTAGTCCACCAACACTTAGCCTTGATCACCACTTGCACCCTTATAGGCATGTTATCTATGAGGTTAGTGCAAACCATTACAGGGATCTTCTTGCATTCTTCCTGGACCCACACTTTTGCATAAGAGGGTGAGCACTAGGAAAATTGCGAAGGATTTGAGCGTATGCAAGAGTATTGTGAACGATTTCTGACTGAATGTTATCTCTGATACTAGCCACGCTGAGGTGTGGCCAAAGATGCCATAAGACGATTGACTCCGTCTTACCACGGATCGTCTTCGTCGTACCTTTGTAGGGTAAAATTACGAGCAGAGTGGCGAAAACTAGCGTATCTGCCGCGAAACTTAGGGTAACATAGCGCGGTCGACTGTGCACCCTTGCACTATTAGAATCACGCTAGGATCCTTAGGTATCGTCATGGTGCAGTAGTCGAAGAAGGCACGACTGTTCAAAAAAAATATCCGGGTTGATGTATGGTGAGGAAAAGGGTCACTCCAGCGAAACATACTCATACTCTCCAAGCCATCTGTCCCGCCTAGGCTTGGAATGGCTTGGA